AGGGTCAACGACCCCTGGATTGGGCAAACCTGAAAACTGGGGAGTCACCAAAGTCTGCCAAGGACAGATAAAAAGCAGTGAAAAGTGACCCTCAGTGGCGCCCTCTTGATCTCCAAATTGACCAGCACCCGACCGGTCCAGCCAGAAGGACCAGCCGGCAACCCCTTTCTGGAAGATAACACCACACTGAAAGAAGCCTCGACAACAGACTCCAGTGCCTGTGGGATAGGTATACCCGAGTCTTGTAGCTTGCTACTGTGCGTGTACGGGTGCATATGCATGTGCATGGGGACCAGCCCCAAGGTTTGTGAGTCAACTTCATTACAGTGTTTCAATCCGCCTAATAAACCAGAATTTTAAGGATCCTGAGTTGGACATTTGTAGCCAACAGGGTGACTCCGAGGAAGGTGTAGCACAGTAGCTGGGTGTTGGGGGCATATCTTTGACATCCCTACTTTACTGCATGTCCAGGTCCAGGTGACTATGTATTGCAGGAAGATTAGACATCAGAGGGCAGCACTACCTTCTATGGATCTGGCATCCCACATGTACCATTAGGGACAGCCAGTGTTTGCCCATGAAGCAGGTGGATGATGATGCAATTATTGCATCATCATCCTCAGGGCTCATCCACTCAGCTGGTCCCTGAGTGATGCTTTACAAGACTTTACCCTGTCCATCTAGCATCTGATTGGAACTGGGGATGAATCAGTGACTATATCTGAACTGCTCTGACAGCCAGCTCTGAAGTACAGATGAGCCTGGGAAATATTAAGAAAAAGCCATGGCAAAGCCAATTCCATGCTGGGTTATGGATGGCCAGGTCTAGCAGTCATCCAAGCTCCAAAAACGTAACCAGGATCTGAGGGCAGTGTGTGGAGTCCAAATGTAGGGGAGCCAGAAAGCCAGAAGACTGAAAATCCATCCAGGGAACAGAGTCAGAAATCCAGAGGGTCAGACAAAGCACTGGGTCAGGAGGCCAGTTGCGTCAGATATCCTGGAGATTAAACCAAGATGGGTTAAGGAGCCAAAGGTTCAGGCAAGACTCAGGGTCCATAGGCAAGCTGGGGCAGGTAGCCATAGAATCCAGCAGAGGCACCAACCAAGGCTGAGACAACTTGGGTACAAGATTGAGCCTTGCTGTCCAGACACTTCATGTATGTCAGGGGTTTTTATAGGAAGTGGTAAAGGGCCAGCTGACCCTGGCTTGCCACTCTGGTTGCAGAGTGGGTGGGTGTCTAGGCCCAGATACTGGGCTCTGACCACCTATCTCCACTCCAATGCTCAGCTGAGGACATGGTAGACTAGCATCTGTATCTGTACCAGGAAGGCTGAAGCCCCAGGTTCAAATCCAAAGTCTGGCAATTGTAAGGTAGGGATACCCATGAGGTTTTGCTGTTTAACACACTCTGGGTATGTCTACATTGAATGTTTACTGCAGAGTTGACTAATTAGATCTGTAGTAAATGGTATGTGTCTACACAAGTGCACCCCACTTAGGCTAAAGTAAATTAATTAACTCCACAGCAGTGTAGTACTTGTAAATACAAGTACTATCCAGCTGCAGAGTTTTTTACTCCGCAGCAGCACACATGTGGATGCTGCCCTGACTGGCTGGGACACAAGGGTGCCCCAGTGTGGAGGGCTGTCTGCTAGCTAGCTCTACGCTGAAGCACCCTTGTGCCCCAGCCAGCCCCTCTGTAGCACACTGAGCCAGGGGGAGCAATCCCAAGCTGGTAGGCTGATACCTGGGATCCTGTGTCAGCTGGGGCTGCTCCAACCCAGCTCAACATGCTGTTCAAATGAAGTGCCCAGGAGCAATAAGCAATGAGGCAATATACTTTGGAGTTTATTGCTTGACATTAATTGCACATGTAGATGCACCCTCTGTATTCTAACCTATTCCCTTCCCATATGAGCAGCCATGGGGTCAGGCATGGAGTGCTTGTTGAATTATTTTTGGAGGGTTCCAAACTGAGAACCTTGGGAGTTTTTGCCCTGTACTGAAAAGGCAGGAGTCATGAGACCTTACACAGGATTTTCACTTCCAAAACCGTTTCAGAACAGCAGGTGTCAAGAAGCAAAACATGGAAAAGCAGAGTCTCCAAAGGTCTGAAAACATGATTTTTCTTCTCATCTTCCCCATTTTCATTTCCCTGGTCTATTCTGGAATCACAAACCTAAACATTTCTTCTTTTCTGGAGGCCTGGAGGGTAGGACAATACTGGAATTCAAATGTAGAAATAACAGGGCATGTCTACACATGCATTAACATGCTTTAGTTAATGTTCATTAGATCTAGTACCTCCAGGCATTTTTACATATTACAGCAGCTCCAGGAGGACAGATGGGGGCCAGGGGCCTGGTACCAGACAGGGGTGCAGACAGGGGCCAGGGGTCCGGTGCCCAATGCCTGAAAGGGTAAGACAAGAGCTGGTGCCTCAAAGACAGATTCCAATACAGTGGGCCCAGGTTGGAAGACCCAATTAGAGGAAAGGGGCAGAGGTCAAGGAGGCCAAAGTCCCAACAGGCGATAACTGATGGTGCAGTAACACCTGCAAGGCTTACACCAGGCGTGGTGTAGGGGAGGATTGGAGCCACTCAATTAGCCCTTAAGACTATAGGTGCCCTGCAGGGACATAGTCTGTCCAGAAGGACCCACCAAGCCTGAGGGTATAGTTAAGACCAGCGGGGTGCAGGGGAACCCTGGTGGTGATTTAGCTGAACTGGGGCTCACACTAAGGCTCATGGGCAGCCTCCCTTTCAATCACATAGTTACATCAGAGCATAGTGAGCGACACAGAAGGGAGGGCACCCTTCTGAGACAGGGCAGGACAGTTGCGGAGCCACCAGGGAACATCACGGCTGCCTCTGGGACCCCAGCATGCTACAGTCACCAACCCTGAAACACGCCCCCATGCTTAGGTGGTTCTTGAGGTAGCTGAGAGGTGTCATTCACTCAACCAACCTTCATTCCTGAGCTCTATGCTGCAATGTGGCCTGAATGATTTTTTCCTCGTCAAACATGGTAGCCAAAGTCACCAGCTGCTTCCCCCACCAAAAATACCCCACTCACATTGCCCCCTTCCCCAACACCTCAAAACAGGGGAACAATCATAATATAAATGTAACCCTTCTACCAGACTGAGGACAAGGGTCAGGTTCAGATTTAGAGGTGTAAGAAAAAAAACAGTAAAAATATTTGGTGTCAGTAAAAAGTTTGCAGATGGTCAGTAAAAAAAACCAACAACTTTAAATCAGGAACTCTGCTTGACTGCAGTAGCAATTTTTATGCCATGCCCCCTGTGACAGGTATCCACTCTGGGCCAACCTTAATGTGACCCGCACACCTGTTCCTGGGGAAACCGCCTGCCTACTCGCCTGCCATGTCTTGTTGATAACTGATTAATAGGTGTTAATTAGCAGGAGGCTGCCCTTGTACTGCCCTGCTGCCAGGGGGTGCTATCTGCGACTCCGTTTCCTCCCCTACACCGTAGTCCACACTTCACCGATGGAACAGCCATTGTCTCAGTTCTATCACTATTTGGCCCCTTCCTGTTCTCTCTGGGCCTTCCTTCCTTTCACGCATGCTCCCTCCCGTGCTAGGGCTCTCCCCAGCCCTCTCTCACTCTGTGCCCTCTTCTCCAGGGCCTTATCCACAATGCTACCCCCTCTCCAGGGCCTTCTCAATGATGCTGCGCCCTCTCTGGGTTCATCATGCCCACACTGGGCTTCCCAATAATGCCGCCCTCTCCTGGGCTCTCTGTGCCCACAATGAGGCTCCTCAGTAGGCTGCCCCTTATCTGGGGCTCACCGTGCCTAACTTGCGCTTCCCAATAATGCTGTCCCCTCTCTGGGGCTCGCCACGTCCGCACTGGGGCTTCTCAGTAGTGCCCCCTCTCTGGGGCTCACCCCGCCTGCACTGGGGCTTCTCAACCGCTCCTCTCTGGGGCTGGGGTCTATGCACCCCATACACCATGCCTTTACAGGCGCTGGAGTCCCCATGCTACTGTGGGTCTCCAACCCCTAATAGCCTCACCCAAACCACCGGTTTAACAACAAAACAAAACAGAAACTCGAGCCCCTTGGCTATAAACTAAACATAAGCCGCCTGGCTATAACAACATTGCTCAAGCCTCTTAGAGCTGCCATAAGCTGTACCTGCAGTCCAGCTTCTTCCCGCATCCTGGCTTAGGGAACTCCTGCCTCTCTGGCTGCTGGCAGGGAACTGCCTCTAGCCTCCTGTCTGTGCTTTATATAGGAGCCAGGCCCTGCCCCTTCTGGTCAGCTGACCTTCCCTGGTTGCCCCGGCAACCCACAGCTGGGCTCCTTATTTCCTGCTTGGGCTCTTTCCCTGGCAGTTTCCCCTCTGTAGGAGTAGAGCACCTCAGTGCTCTGTGACACCCCCCAACCCCCTAGGGGTCCCCTAATCACCCACAAAACTCAATACCCACTGATTACACCCCACACCAGGCTGCCTTCACATTTCACCGTCCAGCTTTTCTCCCAGCAGCCCTGCTCCTCCCATCCTGGCACAGACCCCCAGTGAAGGGCTACTCTCTTAGATGAGCAGTGTTACAGGGAAAGGGGATGTAGCATCAGCAGCATCAGCAGCAGCTAGAACACATGGCTTGGGAGTGGGTGCAGGGAGCTATGGAAGGTGCCATGAGCCACAACATCCTGAGAAGAGAGCCTTTCAGGGTGCTGCACACCAGTTCAGATACAACATGGCACCACTGTGCTCCATCTGTGCCTCAGCACTGCCTCCAGTGACCACAGAGCTTGGTTGCTCTCTGTTTCTATGTACAGTACAAGTTTCTTTTACCCACTGAGTTTTTAGGCTTGATTTTTATGGAGTATCCATAAAACCCTGAGCCTGGGATTGGCATGGAAGGAAACGAAGCAAGAACTAATGTTGTACACACCACTGAACATGGCAGACAACGAAGAGAAAATGAAGGTATGGCTTTGGGATAAATCACAGAGAAGCGAGAGGAACACATTTATCTGAAGGGCCCAATAATTAGAGCAGCTGATGAAGCCGCTTGATGAGTACGGTGACCCCAAGAAAAAAAATGAGACTGTAGAAAGATACTGCTTTGGATCCAGAACAAGGAAAAGATTGTTATGTTATAGGCCATATGTGATTTTGGGAAAATAACAGATTCCCTTATTAGAGACAGAATTATTTGTGACGTATCTGATCCTAAACTAAGGAAGAGATTGTTGGGAGATGCTGGTCTGACTGTGGAGAAATGCCTCCCAGTATCAAGAGTAGCTGAATTATTTAAGGAAAAAAATCAAAACAATAGCTAGTACAGAACAAGTACACAACATAAATTTAAAGTCACAAAGGGTGTGTCTACATGTCGTCGTATGGTGATGTTGTTACTGCACTGTATTTTAGTACTTCCTTTTGGCTATCACTGTAGCAGTGCACTATAAGCAGGGAGTGTGTTGCAATAGCCACATAGCCAGTTATCACATGTAGACCCACATGATCACTATGTCACCATAGCATGCCATACGGTGACATAGCACACTGCTACCTCACTGCAGGCAACAAGTAGCATTAGACCTGTGCGAAGTGGCAAGTATTTGCTTTGGATTCAGTCTATTCGGGGGGCAGTGATTCGATTCGGTGATTCAAATCACTGTCCTGAATCGATTCAGCCGAATCTGGTTTGGAGATTCGACTGCTGTTGCTGAATCTCGGAATCTCGGAATCACCCAGGCCCATCCCCTGCCTGCTCTCCCAGCTCCAGCAGTGGCTACCCGGCCCACCCCAGCTCCTGGCTCTTTGAAAAAAAAAAAAGCCCCAATTCACCGGGTGCTGCTGGGCAGGGGGCAATCCCCGCTGCCCCCCACTGCCCCACGCTGCATGGGGGGCTCTGCATGATCCCTGTGACCCCCCCCTCACTCTCCCA